CAGTGCAGGGCCGGCTGTTCGTGTGGTCCGGGGCTGACTGGGAGCACAAGAGAGGACCGCGTCACATCCAGAGCCCAGGAAAGATCCAGGGCATAAGTCGGTGTTGAGTTTCTACTGAGTGTGTGGAGAGAACACAGGCAGGGAGGAGAAGCATGTGGAGACTGGCGGGAACTGGAGTGCTGTGGTGAGGGCCCAGGAATGTGCACTGGGCAGAAGTTCCGCCCCAGGGCCTCAGAGAGAGCCATGCCTTGATTTCAGACTTCCGGCCTCCTGGCCTGTGAGAGAGTTGTTCCGTTGTTTGAAGCCCCTGGGTTTGTAGGCATCTGCCGTGGCAGCCGCAGGACTCACAAACCTGGCCTGAGGAGGCTCTCTGATTGGGGCTGGGGAGGCCAGAGAGAGGCACTGGTTTGGGGTGATCTAGACCCCTGAGCAGACCCCAAACCAATCAAAGTTGGTGGACCAGAGGGAGCCCCCTCCTCAGAGCATCCATGAGGACCCAGGAGCCTGGCCCACCCACCCACCGCCTGCGTCAGTGTTCTAGGTCCTTGATCACCACAGGGTGGACACACAGGCTCCAGGCTGTGTCTTCGGCCAGGCATGCAGAGGAGCGTGACCCAGGAAGGCCCACATCCCCTCAGAGCCTCACGGACGTCCAGCCAGCCCAGGGAGACCCGGCCCCCAGCGTCGCCAGCCACTGCGTGCCTGGATTTGGGAAGAAAGCAGCTGCTGTACTTGAACTTCAGAGCCAGACTGGAGCACAGAAAGCCCCTTCCAAGCAGGGAGGAGGCCAGGGCAATGAACGCCCTGCTAACATTTTATTTTTAAATTTTAACCTAAAAAAAAAAATACATAGAGCAATTCCAGTTTTAAGATCCAGGAGCAGAAACTTTTCCATTCCCATCTTGTCCCAAAAACTCCCCTTTTAGCAAGACAACGGGGAAATAGAGTTACTAAGTGGCACCTTCAGTGAAAGCAGCAGATGCTTACAACTCCGGATGCGGAAGCAGGAAGCCAGAAGAGGCACAGAAGGGGGGCAGGGAAGCAGGAACTCCAGGATCTGGGGAGAAGAGCAGAAAACTGGGACCACAGGACTCAGGGAGGCTGGGGGACTGGAGTGGTGGAGGCCGCAGACCAGAGGCCTGAGCCAGAACCAACACATAGAGCAAAGCCTATGAGTCTGTGAAGGACCCAGCTCCACACCCCACACCCAGGTGCTGGGAAGTTTATTCCCTGGACAAAGTGAACCAGAGAAACCAAAGCAAGGCAGAGGAGTATAAAAGAGAGGCCAGCCTGAAGACCAGCGAGGAAGTCAGCCGTGCACACTGGACTTGGAAATCCTCTCTCCCCCCACCCCAGAACACAGCAGCCCCACCAGGTGGGCAGCTGGACAGTCCCTAGGAAACCAACCCGGCCCAGAGAAGCCACCCTGAGACCAGCTGCTGGGGTCCCTAATGAATGCCCCAGGCTGACCTCTACCTCTCACAGAAGCACACCCTGAGTCACCCATACTTAGGGACCCTCCCACCATTCATCCAGGGATCTCAAATTTAAATATGTGCTTGACATCAAATCAAAGACAAAGGGCAAGCACCGAAGGAGGGCAAGAGGATCTCTGAGTTACAGCCAACAGTGACGAGAACAGAATAAACCTTCAGAAAAATGTATTTTATAACTCAGAGAAATAAGATGAAATGATGTAGGCTTAAAATGAGAGCAGGCAGTTGTTTCTGAATTTTTAAAAGCTGAATATGTAAGTTCCACTTAGAAGTTTACAAAAATCAGAGCAACAACAAATGAAGCGTCAGGGATACAAAACAAGATTGAGAAAAATCTCCAAGAAAGCAAAGCAAAAATGAAAGGACTTCACAATGGAAGGATAGAAATAAAGCCGTTAAAGCACCCATCAGTCCCGGGAGGCTCTCCAGAATGTCCCCGAAAGTGTCTTGTGTTCAGAGGTGGGGCTTTCAAAGGTGACTGGATTTGGGGCGCGTCACACTCATCCGTGGATTCATCCATTGGTGACTTCGTGGCTGAAGCTAGTAGGAGGCGGGGCGGTTGGAGGTGTCCCTGGGGGGGTGACCGGGAAGGGTGTCTTCTTGGCCCAGGCTCCCCGCTTCTCTCTCTGCTTTATGGCTGCCATGGTGGTAGCAGCTTTCTTCCAGCATCCCCTTCTGCTATGTTGGCTCTGCCTTAGAGCCACCCAACCATGGACTGAACCTTCTCGGGCTGTGAGCCAAAGAAACCTCTCCTCCTTTAAGTTTAAGAGTTCAACTTTAAGAGTTCAGTATTTTGTCTGAATGACAGGAAAGCGCCTAATACAGCTCAAAATGAGAGGGGGAATGATGAAGGAAACAACACAGGAAAACTTCCTGTAATGAAAGGACTTGAGTTAATAAGTTGAGGGCCCAAAGGTGCCTGACCATTAGTGCTCACCAAGCCCCCAAAATTCCTGTTTTGTGAGAGGACATTAGTACCCTTGCGTTCCCACCCACCACACTCATCTGCTTGTGAAGTCATTGTGCTTGTTTTATGATTTTTTTAAAAATTCAGTAACATTAGCATTTGATATTTCTATACTGAGTAAATTATCCAAAAATTGAATCTAAAAGTTAGAAACTCATAGTTCCTACACAAAGATTTCTCACACACACATGACTTGATGCAAATAAGAGTCCCTGCAGTGCCGAGCAATGAGCTGGGATTGCATTTCCTTCCCTGGAATCCAACTGAGAAGAAACTGCCTCTGGACATGGGTCCTTCCCACACCGCCTAGAGCCTTGGCAGCTCTGACCTCTCTGTAATCTCAGCTGCTCCATCGCTCTCCCACGTGCTCCAGCCGAGGCCTCCCCTGGACACCTGCTCCTCTGGCCTCGGCCAAGGCTGCTCCACCCCCAACCTCCTGGGAGAGGCCAGCTGCCCCTGCCATTGGACGCACTGTCCTCCGGAACCCAGGTGTGGCTCTTTCCGGGTCTCATCTCTTCTCCTTTGGGAGACTGTCCTCCAGTAGCTTCCCATGGAAAGATTCGCAGGATGCCAACTTCCAGGGCTCTTCTGAGTGTGCAGTTCTCTCTGTGACTCCCTCACACTTAAACAATAGTTTCATGGATGCAAAGCACTGCCTGGAAAATCAACCTCTCAGAATTTGTCCCAGTGACTTCTGGCCCCCGGTGCCACCTGTGAGAAGTGTGGTGCGGCCAGCCATCTGTGTCTCTGCAGGTGACCTTTTCCTCTCCCTTTTCATCATTGATGGTGTCTTCTCCTCCATTCCCCTATACTTACGAGTTGTCTCTGAGGTATGGAAGACAAATAAAGAACAAATTGAAAATAAGAAAGAGCAATGCCATATGGGAGGTCAAATGCCTCGCCTGTATTTCAGAAGGGAGCCCAGTGGGAGGCTGCCTCTCACTGTGAAGTCCAGATGGGAATGCTCCAGATCCGAGATAGCTCCGGAGCTGTGATAGCTCCAGACCACTCCAGAGCTGGGCAGACTGTCTTCCCAGGTGCAGTGGCACCAGGGCCATGCCCAGCCTCCCAGTATGGCCCCATGTCTGACCTGCCAATATGCGGCCATGATGCAATGTGCTCCCCACAACCAGTTCCCTCCCAAGAGAAATAAAGATGACGTTGCCCCTGCCCAATGTTCCTCTCAAACTTACCATTAAGAAAGTCACTGCCCCTCCTGAGGAAAGAGTGGGGACGGGAGTCAGGAGAAGTAGGAGTGTCACACAGTGGGGTCCGCCAGGAGAGGGGGGCTGCACCGTGCCCAGCTGTAGCTTCTGAGGCTCCTGCCAGTCACACGCTGGAGCCCCAGGCTGGTCCTCTGTGGCTTTTCTCCCACATTCTGTGTTTCTTTAGCTTTTTGTACTATTCTCTGACAGATTGTTTCAACTGATCTTCCAAGACTTGTACTGAATTTCTCCCTATATTTTCATTTTGCAGTTTGTTCTTTCTCTAACTGTTCTATTCTTGTGGCCTTTTGTTTGTGTTTCCTGGATCCATTTTCTCTAGGATACTAATCTGAGTTTGTGTTTGAGTTTTTGTTTTGTTTCTTTTTACTTCTTCTCTTGTGGCTCTTGCCAGTCTGGAATGTGTGTGAGAGAGGGAAAAGGCAGAGCATTGGGCCATGTGCAGAGCAGATGGGCAGACAGCAGGAGAAGCGAAGGAGACAGATCAGCAGTGAAGCCTGGGTGGCTGGACATCAAAGGGAGAGGGGTGTTCCCTGTCACCCTGGACTCTGAGCTGCCCATCTGCAGACCAAGAGTTGGCATTTCCTCCTCCTTCAGCAGTTGGGACCAGACCCACCTGCAGGGCTGCTGAGGCCCCTGGGAAGGGCACTGGCCCGACTGTGGCAGGTGTCACGGGGTCTGGTCATGTGTTCGTGCAACTTGTTCGTGTCCTCTGGCCCCATTAGGCTCCGTCCCCCATGTGCTATGTCCGTGTGAGAATGGCCCGCCCCAGGCTCACGCAGCCCGGAGGCCTGGGGAGTCACGGACAGGCCGGGGATCACCAACCTGCACTCTTGGGGTCATCCAGGGCAGCTCAGCTCTGTGACGGGCCCTCCCTCCAGAGCCAGGTGTGTTCGGCAGTGGGTAGGAGTAGGGTTTCAGAGCTCCCCCCTCAGCTGTCACAGCAGCTCTTGCTCCATACTCCAAGGGTCCAGCATGGAGACCAACTGCCAGCTGTGTTGACCCCAGTCCTATCCTGGGGAGCGATGCAGCTGTGAACGCAGAGGGGTCCCAACCAGCCATTCCCATGCCTTCCTGCGCCTTGCTGCCCCTGTAGTCTCAACGGATTAAGTGTTTCCTCTAGTCCTGGCTTCCCCCTCCTTGGGACACCCTTCCAGGTCACCACTGTTCAACCCGTTAGCACCTGGGCCACCATCTAGGGCAGGAACTGTCCACAGCCCACAAGACAGTTAAGATTGGCCCTCCTAGGCGGCAGGCAGTCCAGGGCTGAAGCCCCGCCTCCTCTGCGAAGCGGAAGCCAAGACACATCCGGGAGAGGCAGTGGCACCGCACCTGTGCGGAAGAAAGGGAAGAGGAACAGAGCCCGGGGGACCTCACAAGGCCGTGCAGCTGGGATGCCTGTTCGAGAAGAGAGAGCAGCGAGCGTGGGAGGAGCCTCACCCTAAGATGCAGCACCCAGCCTCCTTAGGGAGCTCTGGTGAAGAAGTCACCCGCAAAGCAACCGCACGCCACCCAGGAAGCACCACCCCATGCTGTCACTGGCTGGGGCTGCTGGTAGAGCACGTGGCCTCATCGGGACAGTAGGGCAGGGCCACAAGCCACCCTGGCCAAGGCTGTCATTGGGCTGCAGCTCCCCCGGAGGGAGGTCCACGAAGCCTGCCTCCCTGCGTGCTGCAGACATTGTGGATGCTTCTCCCCTTTGCCTTTCTTACAAACATTTTGCTTTGCTCTTCTCTTCTCCCTCACCCCCCAGCTGTCTTCAGTGTTGGGTGATCCCTGGATGCCTGCTCATTTGTTAGAGCAGAGCAAGAGAAAGTGCTCAGGAGGGCCTGGCAGCTGGCCAACCTCACCTCCAGGATGGAGCTGGACAAACTAACTTGGGGCTCGGTCCAGGAAAGGGTCGGAAAGCAAACTGCACAGGTGCCTCTGGGGTACCCAGTGATGGCCTCTGCAACTTCTAGGCACTCCAAAATAACTCCTTAAATTTCCTACAGCCAAGATCTCAGCTGGCTCTAAGGTTAGTTGGTTGATTGGTTCTCAGGTTGGTGGATGGATGAGTGGGTTGGTGGAGGGTTGGTAGTTTGCTGTGTGGATGGCTGGCTCGCTAGCTAGTGGACTAGTTAGATGGATAGATGGAAGGATGGATGGGTGGGAGGGAGGAAGGGAGGACAGAAGCAAGGAAGGAAGGAAGGAGGAAGGGAGGGAAGGAAGGAAGGAAGGAAAAGGAAAGGTGAGGAAGGGAAGAGGTGAGTGGCTGACTGCATGGATGGACGGACGGATGGATGGATGGATGGATGGTTGGATGGTTGGTAGGTGGCTGGTTGACTCTGCAGAGGAGGTAAGATATTCTGAAAAAGGGAGGAATGTGTAAGTACCAAGTCTGTGGAGAACAGAGAACTGGGGTGAGCAGGTCCACCTGAGCCCCTGAGTCAAGTCCACAGCCTTCTGTACCCCTGGCACTCAGTCTGGGATTCTCTGGGCCCTGCAAGGCGGACACCCATCCTGGGCTGTGCACCTCCCCAAGTTTCCATGGGAGGCACCTCCCTCAGATGAGACATCCCTGCTCTGATTGCCCCTTCCCCGGTTGGAAGGAATCTCATCCTCTGAAGGCTCTCCTCCCTTCTCTTTGTTGCGGGTTTGTGACTTTTAGAAATCCCCTTGCTAGATTTAACGGGGCTGTGGACCGAGAGGAAACAGAGAGCCCCTCCACCATCTTGCCCCGGGAGTCCTTTGCTTGTATTCAGTGTGGTTATGCTTGATCGTCACAGACCAGTGTGCCACTTGTGCCACTTAGACCACACAGCGGTCGTGTTCCCACGTGGCTCTTCTCATGGGCCCCACCAGCACCCGAACATCCCTGTGCTCACAGTCAGCGCTGCACCTGACTCTGACACCAGAACAGGAGCCTTGTGTGCCCTGCACGACACAGTCCCACCTCACACACTGCCCCACTGTGGAGTCACAGAAGCAGCAGCCACGTGGATCAGTGTGATGCTCAGAAGAGCTAGGAACAACAGTCAGAGCTCCGGAACAGCGCCCATCCCTCATTCCCTGCCCTTGCTGTCTGCATGGCCCTCTCCATTCTCCTGGTGGCCGCTCACCACCCCAGGGCTCTGCAGGGCCACACACCCATGCTTATCCCACCAGAGAGGAGTGCAGTCCCCCTCTCCTAGGACAGCTCGCCCGGGCACCTGGGGACTCCAGCACTGACACAGCTATGCTGTGGCTTCGAGGCCTCCAGCCGGAGGGGGCCGCTGTGGCCCGCAGCACTCACCTGCAGAGGCACAGCCCTGCTTCCCACACATGGCCATGGGGCAGTGGCAGCCTCAGTGCCCAGCTAGAGAACAGGACAGACCAAAGGGGCTGTGGACACCTGGACCCTGCCCAGTTGCCACCCCACACGTCCCAACATATGCATCAGCCTTGGGGCCCCTCGAGGGCTCCGGGTCAACCAGCAGGGGAACCAGGCCTGTGCACTGAGGAGAGAATGACTGTGACGGGCTCCCACGCCACCTGGGGAGCACAGCGCATTTCACAAGGACAGGGCAGCTGCTCCCCAGCTGTCCCCAGGTTGTCTCTGAGGACCCGTGTGCAGTGTCGGCACCAACACGCCACTCCCTCAGACAGGCCGGCAGCGTCCCAGGCTTGGCTGGCTTCTGAGCTAACCACCTAAGAAACATTCACGTAGCCCCTGCCCTGTACTCCGCAGAGACGGGCAGTGCGAGAATCACAGTGCTCGGGGCCCTGTGAGACCCACAGCAGCCCAAGGACTGCAACTCAATGCTTCCTGTGCTCCCCAAATCTGCATGTAATTACACAGCACGGACTCACCACATCCCAGCACAGTGAGCAAGCCGCCCTCAGATGGCAGTGGATGCATTCATGCCGAACGTGATTCATACAGCGATTTTCTAAGAATTTTTTCCACCCATTTCTTCACTCTCCTCACTCACTCCTTTCAACACCGCGCACCAGCAAGAGAAGGCAGTGCTTTTCTCATGGAGAAATGAAGTCTGTGGGGTGGCCGTCCACCTCCAGCAGGGAGGAGACCCTCAGCCCCAGGAGGCACAGGGGTCCTGCACACCTGCAGCTGCTCAGCAATAGAGCCATGGTATGACATCCAGATGTCCCCAGCAGGATTTGCATGGGCAGTGGGCACAGGAGCCCGATGGAGGGGAGCAGAGACCCCTGGGTGGCAGTAGAGCCTTCAGCCTGGGGGTGCCCAGAGGTCTCAGGAGCAGGCAGGCTGGCTGATCTGGAAGTGGGTGCCATTCACCCTCCGCTTGGATTCTGGGTCCCTCCAGATTACCTGGCAGCCCACTGGACACCAGGTTTCCCACCAGCTGTGGCCCTCCCTGCCCCTCCCTCAGGGCCCTGGACAGCTGCCACCCCTGTCCTGGCATGGTAAATGGAGCCCTCATGCAGGCAAAGGCTCAGAAGTAGAGGTGCTCTACTGGGGTGCCATGGGGGACAGATCCTGACCAAGCCCTGGCATCCACCCCACCTCTGTCCCTTGCCGGGCTTCACTGATTGCCATGGCCTGGCTGCCATGTGGATCACGTCCTCTGCAGAAGAAAACACTGCATTTTTTCCACATATTGAGCAACACCCAGTCTTGATTCCCTGCTAAAATTTCCACAGATGTTCCCCTGGGCTTGGCTAAGCAGCACTGCACGGGCAGTGGAAATGGAGCAAAGGTGCTCAGGGCCTGGAGCCACTCCCCACAGAGGAGAAAGTTGCCAGGGACCAGGACGCCAGGGCAGGGAGAAAATCTAGGAGCAGAGGTCTCCACTAAGGAGAGAAAGAAGGGGTGAAGGAGAGAGGAAGAGGCAGGAGGGGAAAGGTGGGCAGAAAGGAAAGAGGAAGGGAGAGGGCAGAGGGGAAGTGAGGAAGGAAGGAAGGAAGGAAGGAAGGAAGGAAGGGAGAGAGGGAGGGAGTGGTAAGGGGAGGAAAGGAAGTAGAGAAGGAAGACAGGAAAGAAGGAAGGAAGAAGAGAAAGGGAAAGGGGAGAGAAGGAAAAACAGAAGAAAGGAGAAAGAGAGAGGAGGAAAAAGAGAAGAGAGAACTCCAGCCGGAGTCCCAGCTGGACGATCCAGTGGAAGCCAACTACAGCAGCCCCGCTCAGTGAACTCTGGAAGTGGACGAAGGTCAGATGGCCTCCAACCCTGTGTCCGACGGTGACTGGATCTGGGGGTGCCGCTCTGCCTGGCTAGCGGTGTCGCTGGGCGTGGCCTGGATGGTGACCCCGCCCCGCCCTTCTCTGCTTCCGGTGCCGGCCCTTCCTCCCTGCTGCTCCTGCTGTGGAGCCAGCCCACCCGAGGCTGGACCGTGAGCCACAGGCAGCCTCTCCTTCTTTCCCCTGCAGGTGTAGTTTGTCCCCGCGAGGAGAAGGTGACTAAGAGCCGGGAGCTGGGCCCACCCCTCGACCACCTTGGGGCCTCCTCAAGGTCAGAAGGATCTTTTATTTTTTTGCTTTTCTTTAAATTTGATTAGTGCCTATTCATCATTCAGAATAATGGGTTTCTTTTTAGCATCTTGATTGGTGCCTATTACATACTTTATTTTTTATGCAATTTGCCTCTTCATTGGCCAGTTGTCTCCTTCTCCCGCAATGCAGCCTCATTGAGGCCCAGTTTCAACTGTGAAGCCAACCTCAAGCCTCTACCTTGGCCAGACACATAGTAGGTGCACAGACGGCTGCGGAATAAAAAAGTGAAAGGGACTATGGATGGAGCTCAGTGGTAAAGTGCTTGCCTGGCATGTGGAATCCCTGGGTTCCATCTCCAACACCAGGCAAAAGAGAAGGGAAGGAGGAAGAGGAGGGGGAGGGGGAGGGGAGGGGAGGGCAGAAGGAAGGAGGGGAAAAGAAGAAAGAAAGAACGGATGGGGAGAAGGAGGGAGGTCTTGCCTTGCAAACTATTCTATTAGAACAGAGATTTCCAAAAAATATGGAAAGCTTAACTTGTCAGATTAGAATAAGAAATATTCAGATTTTTGCTTTATTGACACCACAGAAGTCACTTATCTGTACTTCAGATGAAACCACTGTGTGCACTCATTATGAGCAAAGCCACCCTAAAATGTGGTGGGGTCCCTCTCAATCTCATCCTTCTCAGCAGAGGGCTGCGGTGGCACACAAAACTACATGTGGTCTTATTTTCATGTCTCCGCTAGACTTCCAGACAAAAACATTCCTTGATCAAGGAGTGGAAAAGGAGATTTGATATCAAGTCGTGCGATCTTTTTTTTGGCTGACAGCACGCAATTCAGCTGTTGGGGATGAAGTGCAGCCTCAGCGCACACCAGGTACCAAGGCGTCCACTTGCCTTCACCCTCTGTTGTACCAGCACAGCCCTCACCTTAGTCTGCTCAAGCTGCTTCAGCAAAATGCTGTACAGTGAACTGGGCACCTGGCAGCTACAGAAACGGACTGGTCACATTCCTAGGATCAAAGCCCAGCAGATGCGCAGTGTGGAAGCACGCTTTCTGCTCCACAGCAGTGACTTCTCACTCGTCCCTGGAGGAGGCCATCAACAGGCCCCCTCAGGACCCCTTGGTAAGGACACGAATCCCATTTATGAGGCAACCACCTCATGGCCCAGTCATCTCCCCAAAGCCCCACCTTCTACCCCATGCCCTTGGGGCTCAAGACTTCAACATGTGAATCCGAGAGGGGAGCAAACATTCAGGCCACAGCACCGCTCTTCACACAAGGGCAAAAGACACTGATAAGTACCAAGAGCAGAGTAACCAGGAAAAGCAGTGCCCCTGCATTTGTTACCAACTGTAAGAAAGTTCCACGGCCTTCCCATGACTTAGCGCAGGGGGACTCAGAGCCTTGGACATACAAGCAGCTCAGGGAAGGACTTGGGCCGAGTGGCTGGTGGTGCAGATGGGCTTGGGGGGTGGCTGTTCTGCGGCCCCCTGCACCTGACCCGCACTGAGAAGAAGTGCAGGGCCCTGGGTGGATTGGAGGTGACCAGGACCCTCCCTGCTGACACATCACCCGGACCTCTCAGGCCCTGGACAGAAGCTGGCCTGCAGCCCAGAGCCCCAGCTGAGCTGCATCGGAAGGTTCCAGCAACTCCTCCTCCATCCGTTCCTCTCTCTTCCATCAAGGCTTCCTCTGGAGCAGAGGGCCCGGGCCATCACTCCATTGCTCTTCCAACCCTCAGACCAAGGACAGAGCAGGGGACAAGCAGGTCCCAACCCCACCCTCCCCAGGCCCTGGCCCATCTGCTTTCCCCAGCAGCACGGCAGAGGGAGGTGACCCATCCCCTCCACCTGGGCTTCAGGGGATACCACTCGCCTCCCACCCGTCCTCGGCCTCCTGACACTGAGGACAGCCAGAGCCCCTCTCCTGGACGCTGTCCCCTTGCCCATGGGTGACGGAGCTGCAGGAGGAGTTTCTACACAGGGCAGCTCCTTTCCGATGTCACAGGGTACCTCAGCCAAGATTGAAGGAGGGTGGCCCCGAGCTGCCCCTTGCCAGCCACGTTCCAGGGACAGCAGTCAAGGCTGTGGCCTTCAGAGTGGCTTCTGGATGGAGAAGGTGTGTGCACCGAAGGTTCTCTTCCTGCACTGCCCTCTGGGGAGCTGTCCCAAGACAGGGTGAGGCAGGGCTCCTGGGGGGCAGAGGGGCCAGGCCTGCCCCTGGGAGGCGCTTCGTGAGTGATGGAAGGGGCTGGTCAGGAGCTCGGCCCAGATTGTGGCTCGGCCATGGGCAGTGAGCCCCAGTATGCTGCCACATTAGAATTCAAGTAAAGTCAGGAGATAGGTGGAAGGCTTGGTCCCCCGCTCATGGTGCTGTGGGGGCCTAGAGGGGAGTCCTTCAGTCACCCAGGATGTGGCCTTGAAGGGGACTGCGAAACCTCAGGCTTCTCCTCTCCCTCTGCCCTCTGGCCCCTGCCACATACCTCCCACTGTGCCCACCCAGCTCCCCCACCAGGGTCCAGAGAAATGCCCCACCGCAGCAGAAAGCTGACCACCAGTCCTATGGCTCATGTCCTGCTGCTCACCAAGCCCAGTGCAGTTAGGTGGGTCCCATCTTGTCATGTCACTCACCAAAGGACCCACGCAGCTCTGGGGTGACTCGGTGTGTGCAGAGGCCAGAGCCACTGCCTCCCCCTCCCTGAGGAGTCAACGGTGAGGCTGGGTGTGTCTGGTGGGGCACAGAAGGTGACCTTGGGTTCGTATCATGTCCTTCATCCCTTCCTCTCAGCACTCTTCTGCTCTGCATCCAGGAACTACGGAGCTCTCCTTCTGGCCCTTCCACCATGGTATTTCTGCCCTGGACCAGCCAACCCTGGACTGAATCCTCTGAAACACTGAGCCAAGCTAACCTCTTTTCCTCAAACTTCCCATATCAGGTAGTTTGTCCAGCATGGGGAAAGCTGACTGTTCCGTGGTCCTTCCGGTCCCTGGATAATTCCCTGTCTGAGCGTATTTGCACCCTGCTCAGAGAAAACTCCGAGCAAAGAAGGAAGATAAAACTCCCCTTCAGGGTCCAAGATGGGAGTTGGATCTTTGTAAATTAAAAAACAAAGGGAAAAGCAAGTCTGTGGCCCATCTTTGAGTGGGAAGCTTCATTTATTCTCCTGCTCTTACTTACCCGCCCACAACAGGGTGAGAGCGATCTGATCTGTGAGGAGGGAGCAGCAGCCACAGCCTTTTCTGTCTTCTCCAAGCATCTGCGAGGTTGCCCTCCCCTCCCCTCCCCTCCCCCTCCCCCTCTAGACCCCAGCTAAGTACCTCTCAGTGCCTGTCCTAGGAGAGCCTGGGAAAAGCCCATGGGCCATGGCTTCCATGGAATCCTTGGCATCTCACCCCAGTCCCCCAGTACCCCCAGTAAGGGCTTCTAAGTTGGCACTTTTGCCCAAAATGAAGAAAAGGATTTTCACAACACCCATGCATTTCCCACTTGGCCAGAGCCACTGCAGCATTGCAGGTAATCGGGCTGGAGACGCATGCTCGGGGACTTCTGGTTAGAGTGACCGTCCTGAGGTGCCCAGTGTGTCTGGAGGGCCACCTGGCCCCCGTCAGCTCCTCGCCGCCACTGCTTTCCCATAAATGACGCCAAGCAAAGGTATTGGTACAAGAGGCTGCCCCAGCACATTCACACTGCCCCTTCTGCCACAAACTCGGCACCAGGCGTGGCCACTGCCCACAGCCGGCGTGGAGATGCTTCTGCAGGCAGTGGCGCTCTGTGACGTCCCGGAGACAGGCGGGAAAGCAGGTGCAGAGCCTGCCATGGGCGGTAACCTCGGCAAGCCCCGTCCTACCAAGTGGGGTGTGTCCTGGACATGGGATTTTGCCCAGGGACCACACTTTCGATGCCAAACCTCAGGACCCATCCTCATCCTCAGTCCCGGAGGCTTCCGCATGTCTGTTCCCTGCCAGTTTCACGGTTTGTGTTTTACATGGAAGCTCGTGATCTGTTAGGAATTAAATTGGTACCAGGAGTGAGGTTTTCTTTTTCTTTTTTAGAAAACATATCATTTATTAGATGGACTTAAAAATCCACACAAATCAATTTCAGGCACTTCTTGAATACAGACTGCGGGAATTTTCTACCAAAGAAGAGGATATCTAGCAGGCAATGACGTGAAAATTTAAGCTTTAGTTTTAGGACAATCTGAAAGGTTTAGACACTTGTAAGAAATGTTGCATACGCAGTCCAACAGGCCCTGTTACATGTCTTCACACTCACACCACCCCATTCTAAGGTTAAATGGAAGAAGTCATATTTTAGCATTCAGACTGCTAAATTCTAGCTTTCCATTCCTTCACTATTATGGTCTAAAACTCTTACACATTCTTTGATATAGTTTTACTTTTGTGTAAGAGGAGCATTGAAGACACTTTCTATAATGTATCTGCACCTACACAGAAAGTGCATGAAGCTGATTATTCTGATACCTTTAGAAACCCATTTCAATAAGTTCGTTTTGTAAAAATAGGCTTCCTATTACTAATTCCTTTAGACATCTAATGCTGACATTTGCTCTTTCAGTAAATATGAAGGGGAAAAATGGAACAGGGCAATGGATTAAGGAAGACTTTAGATTAAACACCACACACAGATTCCATTTGGCATCTTTTCCCAACCTAAACGGAACTGGTATCTCCAAAACAACCTTCTCGGTAAAAAGAAGATGATACACATACAACTTAACCTCTAGGCCTGACCAGTAAGTAGCTCGAGTAGCTGGGAGAGTTTAGGTATTTCTCTTATCCTTCTGAATCTACCTCTCAGCATATAACGTTAAAATCAAGAAGGTTTAAAATGTGAAATCTGGTATAATGTGTAGGATCCAACTACTGGCAGCTGTACACTGAGTATACCAGGATCCAGTTTTCTGGCAGTGCCCTCTAATGAGAAAAGCCCAAATCAGTAAACCAAGCTGGTGGTGGCTGCATAGTGAGGAACCAGAGGAGCTATGCAGAAGCTAGTGGTTAGAAATAAGGTCCCAGGCAAAGTCTAGCACTCCTTCAGGACAGAGAAAACCTAAGTTCACTGGTGGTGATGGAACATCCTGGGGAACAAGGACTGCTAAACTGTGTGAAAGTCCATCCTGAAGCAAGAAGCCCCAGATTATAGCTGAAGAGTGGCAGAGGCCAAAGTCAAGTCATGTGAAGAAACCTTGTCTCCACCCAGGCTTGGAAACGGGGCTGATGCTGGCTACAAATGGGCAGCTGAGAAAAGAGCCGAAGTTCACAGTCTGTGATGTGCTGCTGCCCCTTCTGCACACAGGAAAGCGGCATACAGATACAGATACATTCTCAAAGAGCCAGCAGACAAAAACCAGAAGGTCATCTACAGCTTTTCTATTCACACTGATGTAAACAGATTCCGAGGCTGTCTGTACTGTATGTGGTGGCTTAGTCGCAGCCAGAAGTATAAAGTGCCTGTGAGAGGGGACAGCAGTGTCCCATTTCTAGGCATCTTAGCACTGTACCCTCAGATAAAAGGAGCAGATCTCAGGGACCAGGTGTGAGGTTTCTGCCACAGATGTCCCATGGCCCCTGTGCCCTGTGTGGAAAGCAGCCCTTCCTCTGGGACTGCTGCTGCACACGGGGCAGACTTCAGCGGGGCAGATCGGTGGCCATGTTCGCCTGTAGCTCACTGAGCCATGGAGAACACGGATGAGTATCGTGGGGCATGTGACTCCTGACGGCACCTGCTATGGTCCCCTCCAGCCAGCAGGGTCCCAGAAGGAGCCAACCCAAAAGTGCTGAGGCAGACGAGTGCATTCTTTGTCACACCCTCACCCTGCAGGACCCTGCCCACGTGAGGGCCTCACCCAGAAGGACAAGGTGCTGAGCTCCCCCGGCCCTGGCTCTGATGTCAGCCACAGCCGGCTCTCCTGACTCCTCTCCCCAGACCAAACCCCGTGTCCCCCGAGGAGCCCCGTCCTGCACAGGCCTCTGGAGCACCCAGGTCCCCTCGCCGTTAAACACAGACCACCCCCGCCACAGCTGAGGCCCATTTCCTCTTCAGTCCCCTTGGAGAATGAAAAGCAGCTGGGAGACATCTGCACATGCTGTGAGCGTTGAGTGTGCACTTACAGACTGCTGGCCGGGCCACCCCACCCTCCCTGCAGTCAGGAGCCCCGTGGGGCCGGCCGGTTCCTGCGGCCTCCCGGGTGGGTGGGCTCTCTGCCCTTCGGAGCCTCCTCAGCTGCCCCAGGGTCACACAGGAAAGCCAGCCCCACGTGCAGGTGAAAACAGTGCACCCCAGGAAGCCCCAAGGGCTTTCTGGGCACACCAGGAAGGTGCAGGGGGAGCTCTTCCTTTAGAGAGAGAGGAGGAGAGAGGAAAGGCCGTTCTGGGAGGGGAGAGCCTCCTCCTGTACTTATGATTGGGGTTTCCCATATAAAAGAAACCATGTGGTATTAAGCTTGTGTGTCTGGCTTATCCCACTTAACATTATGGTCTCAATGCATCCATTTTCCTATAAATGGCTCCAGTTTATCCATCTTTTTGGCAGAGTACTCCATTGAGTATGGAAACCACACTTTCCTTATCCATTCATGTGTCGATGGATGTACAGGCTGCTTCCAGGATTTAGTTACTATGAGCCGTGCTGCTATAAACAGGGGTGTGCATGCGTCACTGCGAGAGGACGTCTTTAACTCTTTGGGGAAGATACCTCGAAGGGGAAGAGCTGAGTCCAGTGGAATTTCTAGCTTCAGTTCTTTGAGGGCTCTCCATACTGATCTCCATAGCAGTTGTGCTCCTTTACGTTCCCACCAACAATGCAGAGGGCTCCTTCCCCCAGCCCCCACAGCCTCTCCGACATTTGTTATTGCTTGATTTGGTGATGACAGCCACTCTTTCTGGGGTGAGATGGAATCTCAGTGTTGTTGTAATTTGCATTTCTCTAATGGCCAGTGATGTTGAGCATCTCTTTATGTATTTACTGGCCATTTGTGCTTTTTCTTCATTTCACTTGCCCACTTTTTGATTGGGTCTATTTCTTGAGTTCTTTATGTAGGTTAGATATTAGTCCTCTGACTGAGGAGTAGCTGGCAAAACTGTTTTCCCACTCTGTAGGTTGTCTCTTCACACTGCTGGTTGTTTCTTTTGCTGTGTAGAAGCTTTTAATTTGCTATAATCCCATTTGTTGGTTCTCATACTGCTTCCTGTGCAACTTCACTTTTTATTTTTATTAGTGTGTTCGCAGTCCCTAATTCTGACATCCACCTGGGGAGCTGTCACATGTATGTGACACATCTTGGCTCTTCACACGTCCCCTTTCCCTCCCTCCCACTCCCCAGCCCCATCTGTTGGTCCCTTCCCATGAAAGCGTAATCTTGTGATGAATGAAACAGCAGCAGATGATGCACTGAAAGGCAAATCTGACACTGACCTCCAAGGCTAATGACCAGATGTCAGAGGGCTGCATCCAGCCCTGCCATCTCCCAAGCAGCAAAGGAGACCCGGGAGGAATGTGAGGGACACCAGGTTTCACAGCACGCTGTCCCCTGGGGGCGGCTGTGGGGGAATCACAGGCACCAGCAAGCCAAGGGCCCTGGGCCTTGTGGGGCAGGAGACCTGGGTGGCCTTGGGGAACAAGAGGCGGGAGCCGGTGGGTGTGGCACCAGAGGAGGGCAGGGGCAGAGCATCACCTGTCCTGGGATGTTCACCTCCCCTGCAGCTCCTCCCAGGGCAGGGCATACACTGCACCATCCAGCACCCCCGGGGTCTCTCCTAAGTCCCTGGGGCTCCCAGCACAGCACACAAACCTCCGCTCCCACTGTCCCCAGCAGAAGGATTCCACTACCAGAGGCGCAGCTGCAGCACTGGCTTCAGTGCCAGCTGGACAGGGGTGGCTCTGCCAGGCTGTCCTGGACAGGCTCCACATGTGGACCCTGTCCCCAGCACCACACTGGCCACTGGCAACCCTGATTTGCCACATCTGGGCCCATGTGTGCATCCCAAGGAAGGCTCAGGTTGGACTGCGGGGCCATGTGTCCCTCTGGAGCCACACACTGAGCCAGGGAGGGGACCCCGAGGGGCCAGGTGGGAAGTGAGGGGTGGCAGTGAGTTTCCCCAGTTACATGGAGGACAGGACCGCAGGAAGCTGCCATTCATTCTGTCGCACGGATGTCTGCAGAGACCTGGGTGATCCACAGAGCTGCGCACAGGCGTTACCTCGCGTTGTCC